AACCCTAACCACCCACCATTTTTTGTTTTCCAGTTGAAATAGTTCAGAATGGTTTGGTTTCAGTGTGAAGATTGTGGAGACAATCTGAAGAAACCCAAATTGGCAAACCACTTTCGAATTTGTTCTGCTTTTAAGGTGTCTTTTTTTTTTTCATACTCAGATTGATTCTGACTGCAATTACGAATTCAAGTTAACTTATTGTTTATTTTTTTTGTGTTTTCTTAAGCTATCTTGCATTGATTGTGGAGAGATTTTTAGTCGTCAAACTGTTGAAACTCACACCCAATGCATCTCTGAAGCGGTAATATTCTCTGCCTCTTTTATGTTCCAAAGTTAATTGTGCCATAACTTGTCCTACCCAAATTCTGATGTTTCAGCTTCTATGTCTGATCCGAGTGCTAATTTTTGTATCTGGAATATTTGCAAATGGTGTCGTGTTCCATAGGCCATACCTATCTTTCTAAATTAGTAGCTGAGTGCTTAATCGACAAAATGATGGCCGTCCTTCTCGCTCTAGTTGCAAATTCTTTGTAGAGTTAGTTACTAAATGTTTCATGTATAGTTTCATCTACATGTGTTTGAAATATGGCAGCCTATGAAATTATTTTCCAGTGTTTGGTTACCGAAAAAATATTCTCTTTCTCAGTAATGAAATCATTTTCCAGTGTTTGGTTAAGGGAAAATAAGTTCCATTGAAAGGGGAAATATGACATGCCTGCAAATCATTTTCTGTTCCAAATATCACAACTCGTGTTTGGTATGATGCAAAAAGTTTTGTACGGAGAATAATTTCCTAGAAAATGTTTTCTTGGAAAACAAATGGATTTTTGGCTTAGTTTCTAGTGTTTGGTAAGTAAACAAGAAAACACTATCCTAAGAGCATTTATATGATATCTAGCAAAACACTATAGAGGCGGGAATGAGATGGGATGGGGAGTGGGGATTCGGAGGTGGATGGTCAAGGAAGTGGGGGTTGAGGGATTGGGTGAGTGGAGAGGAGACAATAAACTTGGAATGACACTTATGCAACTTGTTTTGATGTTTTCTCTACTTCCATTAATGAAGTCATTTCCTCATTTTTAAGGAACTTATTTTTCTAGAGAAAATGTTTGGACAAAACATAGGAAAAATGAAAGATGTTTTCATCCATACCAAACACACCTTCAGGTCTCATTTGTTTTCATTAAGATTAAGACTTATGAATTTGACTGTGAACATTAAATGTCTACATCAAAATGTGCATAATTTATTTATTTTTAAACATAAATATGTAATTAAAATAAAAAAGTTTAAATATTAAAAATATATAAATTTAATAAAATAAAATCATTATTTGAATAAAAAAATAAATAAACATGTATGTTCTCTAATGATTGTGGGATGGTCTGTGGTGGTGATAGTGGTGATGATGATCGGTATTGTAATGACTGCTATGAGAAAATCAAGAACCCATCAAATTTAGGCAACAAAAGTTGCTCTCTTAGTGAAATGATCAATTGACAAAAGTAAACCAATTACAATTGCAACACAATGGAAACTTGGAAGAAAGAGGATGAAGTAAACATTAAATAATTATACATCAGTAGATTGAAGAAATCCTTCGTTGCTGTCGCTGCTGAAAAGATATCTCTAGGAATACTCAAAGCAAAAAACTTGTCACACAATTCAAACCCACCATTTATGTGGATGTCTCATATTTTAACCATTGATTTTTTTATCAAAGCATATTTAAAAAAAGAGGCTGCTGGATTTTGTAACTTCAAGATCCAGAATTTAACATACTTGCTGATGGTAGAATATCTACTCTCAACTCTCTCATTTCTTTCTATTTTCTCATAGAAATGTGTGCTTTATTTCCTATTTGTTTATATTTGTTTGGCTTAAGTTGTGGACATCTTGTTGGTCTTTTGAACTCCAATTACGTAACTGGAAACTATCATCAAAAATATATAAAATAAAGATGGAGAATTAGATTCGATAATACCCAAATGTGATTTGATAATTTACTAGTTCAAGAGAAAATTATTAGATTGATTGATTGATTGATTGATTGATTGAAGTTGAAAGAGATGAGGAAGGACGGAGTTGCTTTGATAAAGGAAAAACGAAAACAGTGCGTGAGTTTGAGTGAGAGAGAAACAAGTGTGGTGTGTTTGTTCAAGTAGTGTTTTGATATATACAGATTTGTATTTTCTTCAGGAGAAATATGGTCCTAAAGGCCAAGGAAAAGCTTCAAATGGAGCTCCTGTCAAACCCAGCAGTGATGCAAAGCAAAAGCCTGATGTAGACATCAATGTTGGATTGTCAGACCGTCCACCTTGGTTTTGTAGGTCTGGTGAAACTTTTTATCTTTGTCGTGTTGATTAAGCTTTTATAAGAATTGAAGAAAAAGGTTATGGATATTGCTTTACATGAAATGACACTTTTGTTGAAACAGATCAGATCATCCTTGTCCCAGTTAAATGTTTTTATTGCACTGTTGCTGCAACGGGAATATTATTTGTAGCTCAATAGGTTGTCTGTCTTCTACCAATCTTGGTTTATAATCACCGACTCCAAGTCAAAATGGTCTTTTGCCTCTTATCCCCTCATCTATCTGAAACTTTGTAACTGCTTCTCTTTCCTACCTTATTATCTCTTCCTTTTTTCTTACTGGCTTGTATAGTTGTATTAGTGGATTGCGAGACTTGTTTCTGATGCTTCATTTGTTAATTTTCTTTTCTAATGTTTTTCTTCCTTCCCCTTTATCTGATATTTATAATTCATCCTTATTTGACCTCAAATGTTGTATCTGCAGTTTGTGTAATACCAATGCAACTAGCAAGCAGACTCTACTTCTCCATGCTGAAGGTAAGAAACATAGAGCAAAGGCACGAGCTTTCCATGCTGCTAAGCAGACTGAACCAGCTGACGGTGGTGTGGAGGTCTCAAATGATAACAATCAAAAGAGCGAGATTCCTGAGAACAAAGCAGGTGAGGAATTGAAGGTGCAAAACTCAAAAGAAGCAGAAAATGATAATTCTCACTTACATAAGAAAAGGAAAGACAGGGAATCTGAAAATGGTGGTGCCAAACTATCTGCTGAATTAGATAATGGTGAAGTAATCCAGGTCGAAAAAGAACAGGAAACAAAACACAAGAAGAAAGCCAAAAATGAAACAGTGAAGCAAGATAAAGCTGTCGTGGACGGGTCTAACGGAAACGACAGCAAGAAGAAGATAAAGTGGAAGAAACTGATCACATCAGCTTTGAAATCTGTACGTGTTCTCCCCATTTCATCACTAATTTGCAACTTCTCTTTCATATACATCTTCATGAGCATTTCTTCCTCTTTATGTATCTCGTCTTAGAGACTATTTTATGATTATATATGTATTGTCTGGTATCTCTCTTACTCTCTTGTTGCATTTGGGACAGAATTCTGATGGAGTTCTGAAGTTGAAGAAGCTTAAAAAGATCGTTCTGAAGTCTGTGAATGAGTCTGGCATGGTGGAAGATGACACAATTGAGCATAAGGTCAGCTAAATCCCTATTAAACCGCATCAGTGTTTCTTTCTTTGAATCCTTTGGCTAAATGTGTACGGTGCTGATGTGATTCTTTGTTACTATTCCGTGCAGATAAATTCAAGTTCTAAATTCGTTGTTGATGGCAAATATGTACGATTGGCAACCAAAAGTTCCTGAAAATTCTTTCAATTCAGACGCCCTATAAGTTTTACAACCATTGTTTTAGGCAATCTATTGAGGAAAAAGGATACAATCTAGAGCCAAAGCTATAAAAACAAGCTTCATTCATACCATTAATCTCTACTTCAATTTGAAGGAGTCTGTTCCGAAATTTTGTTTGTGCTAGATTATAGATAATAGTTTTTGTAAGAAAATTGTCGTGGATCATTATGTGATTTTATTTTAAGTTTGTTGGTTTATCAGCAAATTTGTGTGTTCACCTTTATGAAGAGCGTCAAGTTCTTATCATCATCATTCTCATATCTCAACAGGTTTGATGAAGATTTTGGGAAATTAGAAGTGTTTATTTTTAAAAAAAAAACTATTTTCTGCTGCAGAAGAGCAACTTGGAAGGAAAATTTTACCTTAGAAACCTAAACGTTCAGAATTTCAGGACAAAAATACCTTCACCAAAACTTTGTTTGATCCCAACCTTAGTTTTCTGATTATTTTTTTTCACATTTTAATGAAATGAGATCACTAATGGACATCCCAGAAGGTGATATCTTGGACCAGCCCATATGGACTGGCAAACACTGATGGCTCTTTTACTTGTATGTATGTCTGCTTGGCAAATTATAAAGCAAAGTAAGAACTTTACTCTCTCAGCAAATAAAATTTGGCACAAGGGCAATAGACTGCCCATTGATGATATAGTCAGGAAATTTGAGGCCCCAGAGGATGATGGAGCTTAGTAGCTTGGAAACTCTATGGAGGACAAAATCTGTTAAGGTGGTGGCTCTCTAAGCCAAAAAATGAACTCCAATATCTATTCTGTCCCTCAAGTGGTTATATGTTGGGAAATTTGAAAAAGATGTGCAGCTTTTAGTGGCACATTTCGGTCCTCTTCCCCATTACATAGAAAGTAAGCCACCGATCTAGGTATCGTTACCGCCTAGACCTGTAATAGCAACAACCCACTTGCAAGACCGTCGCTATCTATAAATGGAGGTGATTTTTTGTCGGGAAATTGTTATTTCAAGATTCAACAGATGACATACACCCCTGTTAATACACAAATTTCCTCCCTCCCTTTCTTCATTGACTGGAAACAACTTCACTTTACAGCAGAGAGATGTAAAAACCTAATGGATGGAAGACTGAAGCAAGGGTTCTCTCTTTCTGTTCTAAAAGGAGTCTGTTTAACTTGTCGTACACATAAATCTTATAGTATTATTACAGCACTTTTAACATGGAAAAACATCCATACAAACGAGGAATTTCAATAATAAATCTGGATAAAACACTTAAGGAGGTAGAGATTTTCATGTGTATAGTTCTGTATAAGATTTTTCTTTTTTCTTCGTAAGAACATTTACAATTGGAGAGTTTGAACCCGAAAATGGCTTTTGACTTGACTACAGAACAAGTAACAACATTGATCATAATAGCTATGGCTAGTATGAAACTTTGCATCGCAGAAGCTACAAGAAGAGAGTTGCTGCTATAATAAGCAAGACAACAGAACACACCATTGCCTGCATAAGAGAGTAAATTCTAAACTCTGTTAGGACTGTTTAACGCTTTAACACGGTATCAAGAGAAGCAAAAGATATTGAAGGGTCACTGAAAAGAAGAAAGGTAGAGAAATGCAATCTCAAGCATTTACTTTTTCCATCTTTTGATTGATCCATTATTTTGTTAAAAGCTTAGCAAGGGGGAAATGAAATGAATCAACTTACAGCAATAGCAGATGCAGCAAGCCCGGCACGTTCTCGAGGATCCTTACGGTAGTAGTTTCCAAAATAAAGTATCGTGGCATAATACCACATCAACGGGCATAGAAATCCCAGTAGAAATCTAGTAATAATAATAAACAATCAGATTTTCCAGAGAGAGAGAGAGTAACTGAGACTTATAATAGCACTTACGAAAACCATCCGACTCCGCAACCAAAGCAAGGAAGAGGTTTATCATAGAACCCTGTTTGAAGGTCCTCTACATCTCTAATCAAGGTATACTTTCCCTTCTCACGGTCTTCTGCATCACCTGCTTGCCCTATAATCATGGTATATCCAACTCAGAACTTTGGTTTGCCTCAGTTATTTAAATATTTTGTGTCTCAGTGTGGACAGATGATTGGTAGATAGAAAAAGGTTGAGTCAAATTCAGAAGAACTTCTACAACAATACATGTCTTCACATTTACAATAGATACCAGGGAACTGAACATAAAGTTAGAAAAGATCCTTAACCCCAACAGCCCAAACAAAAGGAAAAGAAAACCTATGAACAATGCTAATGGGGAGAGAGGGAGAGAGACCAGAAAACTTAAATAGGTAAAAATAGGTATCAGAATAGTTTTCTTATGAAACATGTATCAAAATATTTTATCCTCACTCTATGAAAGAGCCATAATAAGGCCTCAAAGAAGAAACTGAATGAAAGTAAAACTTGTGACATGAAAAGATAAAGATATATTTCAACGTACTTCAATCCTAAAGCAATTCTGCGTTTTTTGCTGAGGAGTGTGAGAAAACAACATTGATAGCTTTTTGTTTTTCTGATTTCAGAAGCTACAATAGATAAGACAAAGGTAGGGAACATCCATAGATAGAAATTTATGAAGAAAATGATTCTAACAGTATTCTACTTCTTTTCCTGATCTATATGGGCCACACATAATAGAAATGAGCATTTCAATCTGCAAGCATTTCTTGGATGCAGGCACAAATACAAGTTATTGTCATGGGAATAGGGTTTATCTTCCTAGGATAATCTAAAAGCATAACGGAAAAACATATGTCCACCACCCTTCGGGGTGGCCCAGTGGCTTGGGCTTGGGACTTCCATGTTGGAGGTCTCAAGTTTGAAAAAAGCAAGGGTTTGCCTTCTGGGTCGAGCTCGTCGCACCGGGCTTGCCTAGTGTGGGTTACCTCTCCTATGTGGTTTGCGAGCTATTGCATAGGAGTGGGGGTTTTACCCTGTGTGCACCCTTTGTTTCCCTTGTCATAAAAAAAAAACATATGTCCACCGAGAGCTGTCCAGGTTGTGATCAGAATATAGAAGGCCAAAATAGTCATGGTATCCCAAAAAATAAAGAAAATGGCTAGTTTTGGATCACAACAAAGTTGACCGATCAGTTGGAAGGGGCAGTCCAAAGGATTAGGGGGAAAAGTGGGTGAACTCCCAACAACTTACTTGGGCATGCCTTTAGGAGCTCAGAGCAAATCAAAGGACATATGGAGTGGTGTGATAGAGAAAAGTGAAAAAAAGTTGGCAAGCTGGAAAAGTCAGTACCTATCCTCAGGTGGCAGACTCACTTTGGTGAATAGTGTGTTGGATTCTCTCCCTTCATATATGATGTCAGTCTTCCCTGCTCCAGCTAGTGTGACTGAAAGATTAGATGCAATCAGGAGGAACTTTTTATGGAAGGGAAGTGAAGACAAGAAGAAATATCACCTAGTGAAGTGGGAGGAGCTGATCCAAAGCAAGAGAGGTGGGGGTTTAAGTATCAGAGAACTGAACACACACAACAAGAGTTTGATGATGAAGTGGTTATGGAAGTTTGCATCCCCAGAAGAAGCTCTATGGAAAGAGGTGATCAGATCAAAATATGGCATGCAGGATAGATGGATGACAGAGGAGGTGACAACTCCTTATAATTGTAGTGTATGGAGATCCATCAGGAACCTATGGCAACTAGTTTCTACAAGAACAAGTTGCAAGGTTGGTAATGGAGAGAAGATGGCTTTCTGGAAGGATATATGGTGTGGGCAGTGGCCTCTGATGCAGACTTTTCCTGAGCTATACAACTTAAGCCAAGCTCAGGATGCTACTGTGGCTGAACTATGGACAGGACCAGGGTGGAACCTTCATCTTAGAAGGAACTTAAATGATTGGGAGATGACCTTTGTAGCAGCTTTTCTGAACACAGTCCCTCAAAACCTTAATCTTACAGAAGAAAGAGACAGTTTGGTGTGGAAGGTGGACAGCAAAGGTATTTTTACTGTCAAGTCAGCTTACAAAGACTTGACAGGAACAAATACTCAGGAGATAGGATGGCCATGGAGAATGATCTGGAAGACCAAAGTGCCTCATAAGGTAAACTACTTTACGTGGGTACTGGCAAAGGAAGCAGTCCTCACTCATGAAAACCTTAACAAGAGGAAAATCAACCTATGCTCTAGATGATATCTATGCGAAGAACAAATAGAGACAGTCAACCATCTCTTTCTACATTGTGTATGGACAGACCAGCTGTGGCAAATGTTCATCCACAAGAGAAAGATCAGGTGGGTGAAACCTGGGAGAATCAAAGAGGTGCTAAGAAGTTGGATCAGTGATGGTAATGCGGGAAAGGATGAGAGATGGAAGATGGCTCCTGCATGTATTTGGTGGACCATATGGAAAGAGAGAAATCAGAGATGTTTTGAAGGCAAAAAGAGCAACATACAGAAGATCAAGACAGATTGCTTAGGCCTTTACTATTTTTGGTGTAAACAAGTAGTTATAGACAGCACAGAGGATGTTTTTAATGCAATTGACTGGCTGTAATTAGATACATTAGGACGTTGTAAAGTGACAACTTTTGTGAAGAGGGACTACACTTGTTGTAGTACACCTGTTGAATATATAGAAGTAAATTTACCATTCTCAAAAAAAGGGGCACTCCAAGGACTTTTTCAGTTGGAAATTGCTACATTGTGATGCAATCTGACACCAACAGGGTTATTTGGCCTTGGAAAAAGATTTGGTTCAATAGTACTCCTTTGAAGGTCTCTTGCCTTTCTTGGAATTTGGCTAGGGATGCTTGACTCACTTAAGTAAACAATCAAAAGAGGGGATTTCAACTTTGCAGCAAATGCCCGTTGTGTGAAGAACGACCTAAAGAAGTCGGTCACCTTTTTTTGTACTGCCGGGTCACAAGTCAATTATGGGGCATGTCTTCGACAATACTTGGCATGTGTTGGACCATGCCTAGCTCCATTACAGAGCTTCCACAGTGCTGGAACAGAAGCGCATATGCAAGAATTCTCAAAAGACTTGGAACATTATACTTCAGGTCATGGTAGTTGGTGAAAGAAATAGCAGAATATTCTAAGGCAATAGGAGCAACATTAACCGCCTCAAAAATGGATTTATTTTTTGCTTGCTTTTTGGTGCAGACTGGTCATTGTACGAGATGTTCATGCAATGCTACACACAGTAGAGAATTTGCACAGCTTGTAATTACGCCTGATGCACTGGCTTAGTTCAAGCTTTTATAAAATTTCTTATAACTTATAAATTTAAGAAAAGACTACCTTTCGACACTGAATAATATCGAGCTGATGGCCTCAAAAGGTCAAGATGTTTTTCAGAGGCTGATTTCACGAGTTCAACAGTATTTCTGCCCTCTCCAGCTTCAAGAGTAGCCCCTGTTAAACCCAGATGACCAATTAATCATGGCTACAAAAAATTCCTTCATCTAAAATTCAGTACGAGTATTAAATCCTCCAATTGCAAATGAAGGGTAAACACAATTTTTCCTGAAAAAATATGCATATTCTAAACCAAGTGATATACATATCCTAGAAGAGTTCATTATGTAAAACTTCAAACAACTGTACAAAGTGACACTCATTCATAAGCATTTCATCATGCAGTAACAACTTTTTGACTAACTTGAACTAAACATTTAAAGATAACTACAAGAAATCTAATGGAATAAGACATAAAGTAGAAATTTATCACGGGCTACATGAAGAATGCATCACCAACAAACAAATATATACAATGATCAATGTAATCACAGAAAACTCTGTCGGAAATCTGAAAAATGAGATAGCAAATTAGGTTAGGTAGACTAAACACTTACCTTTGTCCATGTGTAGTTCTTAGCTGATGGCTTCTACCTTCCAAGTATTTTGAGTTATCCCCTCTGCTTGACCTTCAGATAACCTACTTTGCATGATCAAATAAAGGACTTCAACCTTACTAATTTACCATGTGATAAGCAATAACTCATTGAGTAATGCCGGCAAAGTTGGAAAACGAACGAGCCACTAATTTTTCCAATTGATTAAGGAAGAATAGATTATATCTAGCATTGTTAAGCATAATTGTGTCAATACCATTGAAAGCATGGCGGATCTAGTGGGTAGTGAGGGGGTTCGGCAAAAAATTACATGGTATATCTAAGGTATTTTTAAAAAAATTCATGTATATATATAAATTTTAAGCCTGCTAAGCAAAAGATTAGAGGTTGGCTAGTGATTTAGAGACCAAAATTCTCTTGAGGTTCTAAATTCATTCTCAAGTAGTATATTTTTATTTTTCAAACCCCATTAGTGAAAGTTTAAGCCGTGGATCCGCCACTGATTGAAAGGTCAATTTTTCATCTAGCAACCAATTCATCATAGTTAAACATGTAACTAAACAACAATATGATGATAACCCTCCTATGTTTACAAATCATAACATAAAGATGAAAAAGTAATTTCTGAACCAAAAAATGAAGAATTCACATGCCTTGACTGGTGGTTTATCTCACTACTTTCTAAAGCTTGAACACATCTATAAACTATTTCAAGTATGTTTAGCCCACAATTTCATATCAGTTTTAAGTAAAACAAAAATTATTTAAACAGTCCAATAAAAGCTTTGTTTACTCAAAATGGACAAAGAAGTTGAATTTAGCAGATGAGGATTAATGGCTAAATTTTTTTGCTTAAGTTTTCATAGATATATTTTAATAAAACAGATTAAACAAAGCTAAAAACTTAACAAACATCAACTACCTACCGTCCACCAGAAGAAACAGAAGAATTAGCCCAACATAAGAGAAATTCCGATCGGAGAAAGGATGAAAGAAATAAAGATCCAAAACAATTACTACTAGAAAATTCAACACAAGAAAACCGACAGCCACAGCTGAAAACTATAACAAATTTTCCATTTCTTGATTAGTACCCACTTATATCAATTTATATACTAATCCAGAGAAGAAAAAACAAGAATCTGATTTGTAAAAAAGAGAAAAAAAAAAAACAAAAAAATTTGAGAAAAACTTACAGTTCAATTGCTTCCGCTTAAGCTTGAGATTTTAGAATTTTCAACTCTTTCTCCAAACAAGAAAGTAAGCGGTAGAGCAAGACAAAAGAGTAGTGTGTTTGGTTTATCATTAAAATGACACACTCTCTTCCTATTCATATTGATTGTGACATACTTAAAAAATAAGAGAAAACTCTGTTTTATTTCGTTTCAATTTATGACATATTATTAGGAAAAAATTACTTGGATGATATATTTTAATAAATAATTACTGATCTTAGCGATATTTTTTATTTATTATCATTTTTAGTAATATTATGTTAAATTTGCAATATGTATGAAAAGTGAATTATGTATGCAATATATATGTATTATAATTATTTTTAAAATATATTATGTTTGTTTGGTAAGAAATTGACACGTTGTATTATAAGTGTATTAAATTATGTGATAAATGGAATATTCATCGATAAAACTTATAGGATATGTGAATAATAAAATGTTCTTTATAATATGTATTAAAATTATATTATTAATGTATTAAAATGATCAAATGAAAAAAAAAATGTTATTGCTATAAATGATAAATATTTTTTTAATGTTGTATATCTATGTAAGTTTCCCTATTAATTAATCTAATAGACAATAGTATTAAAAAGAAACTAAAAACTATTCTTAAATTTGTAGTTTAATACACTCTTAACCATTTATATAGACTATAAATAAAAATAAATTATTTTATTGAATATCCAAAAAATTTAACATAGGAGTAGGTGAGGGTAAGTTATGAATAATGAATAATGAATAATGAATAATGAATAATGAATGATGAGTATGATTGGTGGAGGGATAGCATATTCCATACGCCGACTCCTACGTCTGCGCCTTCCTTCCTCCCTACCACTTCTCCTTTCATTGCTATTTATGACGTAGGAATTAATTATTGAATCGAGGTATAAGGTACATTTATTCATTATTAATTGTCAGTTTTTCGAAAGTTAATTTAATTAATTTTTAAAGTTAAATTAGATTATATTAATTTAATAATTTAAAAAAAAATTAAATATTTAAAAACAATACGAAAAATATTATAAATGGCAATGTTTTTGCATATCAATGTGATTAAAAAATATATCATAAAATGTTAGTCAAACTTCTTATTGTTTGACTCTAAAAAAAGAAATCATGACAATTAAAAGTGAACGGAGGGAATATAAGGTATAATAATTTCAAAAATAAAATGTAGGATCATTTTATCATGTATTTGGTTGGACGTATTAGGCAGTCTTGAGATTATTTATCTCACTATTTATACCTTAGTGATGAGATAAGTTATCACATATGCAGGATGAAATAACTTATCTCGGGATAACTTGTTCCCAACTAGATGACCCCTAAGTATTGTTATAGAATATATTTATATATAATTTAATTTTTTATTTTTTATTTTATATAAAATAGTATATAAATTATTTCATAACAATAATAACATATCTACTGTAATTTCACTATGTGGGTTTGGGTAGGGTAGAGTGTACACAAGCATTGCCACTAACTTGAGGAGGTAGAGAAGTTATTTTCAAAAGACCATTAGCTCAAATGCATTAAAAATCACATGAAATTTTTTTTAGTGAAAATATAATCAATAATAAGAAAATCATATATATATATATATATATATATATATATATATATATATATATAGTTCGGATACCACACCAGTACACTAATATTGATTGACTCGAATATCACGTTAATATACTAATAGTTAGTGTGTACGTTCCATGAGAAAAATGAATTTACTTTTTAATGATGAGATTGTTACATATTGGTCCATGAGTAACTGAATTTGTATTTAAATGCTAGGATGGTTCTTGTGTAATGCTAGGATGGTTCTTGTGTAAACCAGATTTTCATGTTAAACACTGTATGTTTTAGGAATCTTTGATGGTCCGATTACTTGAAAGGTGTGATGAACCAAGTATGACTTGTTGTGCTAAGGTTATTCATATTTATTATGCATATCAACTCAAAGTGAGGATTGAGAGTCTGAACTATGTCATACTTGTGATTATTATTATATATTATTTAATTTATTTTGTTAAGTTGTGGTGACTAGGCCAGACTAATGACCAGGGGTCTGGTGTATAATTTAAATGAGGACTAGTTATGATTACTCAGTATTTAGAACATATCTGATAAGGAAAATTTGAGTCAATTTGGTTTAGTAAAAGTCTCGCATGTGATTTACTAAAATAGGTCAAGAACTAGGATGTTGGTATGAGAACTTGAGGGAGAGTAGTTATAAGTTGGTTAACATAGCTAGTAGTGGTCTTGTATTTGGAAAATCTCTATGTGATAGAAGGGTTAAGTTTTGATCTAATATGGTGGTGGCAAAAAAGGTGGGCTTGGGAAGCCTTAGAGTGGCAAGAGGGTCGAATGTTTAAATATTAGAGTTGACAGCGAAACGAGGTAGGAAGTTGGGATCAAAATATACTAGATTATGAGTATTATACTTGGGATGATAAAAGCATGTGGATAAAGACTTGGGGTGATGTAACCTTCATATTGCATGTTACCTTTTGAATGTCCACTTTATAGGTGGATTCGGATCGATCAATGATACCTACCTAGTACGTGTTGTTTGTATTAAAACTACTCTTGCTATGCCACTTGGCATAGTCTGGTAGCACGAATCAACGATGTTTCATAGGTGAAGACATATTCGACAACTTCTTCTCCTCTTCCTTTATGGTGGGAGTTGTGTCTTATTTCCTTCATATGTTATTTTTCTTTTAGAAGCTCTTATTCTTGTTTAGATTAGCTCCTAGGAAGGGATTTAAGTAATTTTTTCAAGACAATGTGTTTCATCAAGTTTGGCAATTGATTTTGATAACTTATAAATGAGTTAATATATTGGAAAGTTATTTATTTCCGCATTTTATATTTTAATTGGGTGTAAAGATTCTCGTATCTAGGTGTTAGAGTATGTGTCTGCACGGTTTGTTGATTTGGATCGTAACAATAAGATAAAGATGGAAGAATATTTATAGATAATTGAAACATAAATTTAATTTTTAAAGCAAAGTTTAAAATATAAATGATTTTCATCCATTTTAAATTAATGTATAACTTTTCAGAATTTTCAATCCCGCCAATTTTTGTTCTCTTTGTTTCCATTCTTCATATATTTACAAGTCCACCATGTATTATCCTCAAAAATAAAAAGGGAAAAAAATGAATTGGTAAACTCTTCATTTTTTTGGTCCTGTATTTTATCCTTTGGAATACCTTAAAAGAAATTGTCACGTTTTCAAGATAATATTATTTCTAATTTCTATATTTAACACATCACTTTCTAACCCATGTTAAAAAAGTAAAACGGGCCATTGTATGTTTAGTAGGAAGGAACATATTTTTTTCTAGAAAATGTTTTATTAAAAATAAGTGGTTTTTTAAAACTTAGTACCTTTTAGTAATTTTTTTATAAATAAGTAAAAAAATATTATTCTCATAAGATTTATATATAATCTAGTAAAATATAATTTGAGGGGTAGGGAGTGAGGTGTTTGGGTGGAATGGTTACTGGGTAGAGATTCAGGATGTTGGGTAGGTGGGGAGAAGACAATAAACTTTGAATATCACTTGTCAAATTAATTTTTCATACTTTTATTAAATAAATTATTTTCTTCATTTTTAAGGAATTATTTTTTCTAGAAAAAATATTTTCCAAAATAATTTGACCAATCAAACATAAAAAAATTAAAAAATATTTTCTTTCCTACCAAACACACTTATAATATTTCACGTCAACCTTTAATCATACTAACTTTTTCTTTTACTTGAAACTCACCCTCATCTTAAGGGTTTCTTTAGACTCAAAGAGACTTATCTTTCTTTTTTCTTTTCTTGTATTCAAGAAAGAGAAGTGGTTTA